ACCTAACTCAACTTTGTGGTTCTTGTTATTCCAATTTATGGTTTGAGGGCTCCATTTTCATTTTGTGAACAGTTGGAGATATGTTTTATTTTTTAATTATTGTGTACACCATTCTCTCACAAAGGCCCTAAACCACCATTCTGTAAATGTCAAAAACACTTGTCCATATATGATTGTGTGTGTGTTTCATTTTCCAGATGGAGACTTTTTTACTTATACAAGACATGAACCTATTGGCGTTTGTGGACAAATTATTCCCGTAAGTTATTCTCCTATATAATTCTCAATTTAAGAAAAAAGAGTTCTAATACTATTAGCTTTGGTGATTAAGCTTTCTCCAACACAAATGGATTCTTACATATTTGTTAAATGTGGAGTAAATGTAAGATTTGTCGAAACTGGTCTCCCTGAGACTAAATGTCTTAGATATGAATGAGGTAGTCCAAAAACCTATCTATATCCTATCATATCTTTTGAGAGCATTTCAATACTACAGTATCAACAGATCTTAACCTGTTACTCAGTAGGTTATTTTTAAAAAGTATAACGTCCTCTTTTTAAGAGCCATGATTTACATATGTATGGCAAAGTGCTCATTGTCACATCTGCGGTGGATCACCATTTTAGTGAAATGTAGGATCTACTAGTCTCTGACACTTTTTATCTCTTCATTGAGGCTTCTCATTACAGAGAATAGTACCAACCAGAGTGTTCTAATCCTGGAAGATATTTTTAAATTAAATTGGAAGAAACAATGCCAGAGGCAATTAGAGCACTGCATGGAATATATTGTGCCTTAAGATAAGAGATTCTGATATTCCAAATTCTTCGCAGAGAAGGTAGTATTTTTAAGCAGAACCATGAAGATTTAAGCTCAGCAAACAGGAAAACTATCTAAATGATGTTACTTTAGCTGATATACTTGAAAAAGCCAAATAAAAAGACGGTCAAGCATCCTTTAGTTTGTAGATGAAGAAGTGGCTATTATTTATTTTTCACTCCAATGAGATTGAAATGTATCCATATCAACAATTTTAATGAAATTCCTCATTAATTCAAAAATCCCAATAAAATCTATGAAAACTACATAACTTGAAATACTAAGAACAGCTAATATATACTGTGTGCCTGTGATGAACCAGTCACTGTGTTAAGCTCTTGGCCCACTTTCTTGATTAATCCTCAGGACAACCTTCTGAGGTAGGGAGGACCATTATCATCACTTAAAGATGATGCAGTTGTACACACAGAGCAAGTAACTTGTGTGGCTTCACATGGCTGGTAGTGATTGAGCTGAGGTTTGAACCCAAACGCTCAGTTTCTGGACTCAGGATATGTTTGTCTTTAACAAGATATTTGTCCTAGAAATAAATGCTGCGAATGATACAATTAGGTAAATAAATATAGTAAATCACTTATGGGTTGGGAGGAATACTGATACTTTTTAAACACAGATAACTTATAATATGCTTAATGGTGAGCCAAACCACGCAGTGATTTTTATCTTCCTGGTAAAAGCACTCAAATTGACAGCCCTTGATTGAATTTTGGAGCCCTCTCCTACTCCCTTTCCATATCTAGTTTATTTAGAGCATTTTAGTCTTTACTAGTTGCTTTTAGCAATGAAGTTAATTAGAATGCACCAGATGATTACACAGAAGTACTACAATTACTTTTTAATATCTGCAGGGGGTTTATCATGTGAACTTAGATTAGCAAATGTGCTTTTCAACAATACAAAGAATCTCTTGTTATATGTTGCTTTCTAGTGGAATTTCCCGTTGGTCATGCTTATTTGGAAGATAGGGCCTGCCCTGAGCTGTGGAAACACAGTAGTTGTCAAACCAGCAGAGCAAACTCCTCTCACTGCGCTCCATGTGGCATCCTTAATAAAAGAGGTAAGTCTCCTAAATCAAACTATGCACAAGAACTCCAGTCCTAATTTACAAGAGGAGGACTTCATTTGGTGCTACTGTAAACTACATTATTTACAAAAGTCTCCTGTCGAGTGTGGGGATGCATTTAGCATGGCTGCTGGCTGGGATTCCTGGCAGTTAGCCCAAAGGAGTCTCTGCCCAAATGCAGACAGAAAGTCCAATGCAAGGGTTTGGTGTCAGTCATTTTGAAATTACGTTTTTGTTTCTTTTGTTCAGCTCTCATGAACGTAATTCATATTAAAATTGATATTCTTTCAAATTTTGAAATATTAAGTTGGTTTGTCACTGTCACTAATGGGCCAGTAGTTTCTGCAAATTTGTTCAAACTATTGTAGGCTATGTGAAGATTGGAGGTCTCTGTGCAAATATGCTTATTTGTACTATTAGGCCACATTATTTCTAAACACATCTACCCATAAGTGGATATGTTTATATTCACTTTTCAATTATGATTTTCTCTGCATTTGTCTTCCTGTTCAAAAGTGGCAAAAGAGCACATGAAATTTATTTTCATCAAATACCTATATTGTGTTAATATATTTCTGTTGCAAACAATTCATTGTCCTTTTCCCTCATATCTTACCAAAACTTAAACAAATTTCATTCACTAGAAAATTCAATTTAGGAAATCTGAATTCATATCTTAAAAATATTCTTTATTTCAAATTAAAAACAGGCAAAAGAGATGTCAAAACGAAATATTTTGATGCAATTAACATGAAATTTTAATATTCCCTCCTCAGTTCCCACACTTTCTGCCTGAATTCTTTAACTGGGGTTGAAATCAATCCTGAAGTTCAATCATAAGTGGGATAACCATCCTTATTTAACATTTTACTGATTAAATAATGCCAACAGGGACTCTCACCTCAGCTGTTATTCCCTGAGCAATTGACAGCAGCTAGAAACTAAAAATACGAGATCCCTTTAGCTTCTTAGTTTTGCTGGTGGGGATAATAAACACATTGCCTTCCTTCTACGTAAGTAATTTACCAAACAATTGTACTTTCTTTGTGAGTTACTATGATGAAATTTGAGACAGTCGTCATTGGAGCCATAACCTATAACATTACCTTGAGGAAAAATGGGCCTTCAGTAATGCAACGCTTGAGGTTATTTTTATGTGGGCTAATGGTAACTGTAATATATTGTTAATAATATATAATAACTATAATAACAATAATAATAATAAAGAATAAAATCACTTAGGTAAATTTTCCTTTTTTACCTCTCAGGCAGGGTTTCCTCCTGGAGTAGTGAACATTGTCCCTGGTTACGGGCCCACTGCGGGAGCAGCCATCTCTTCTCACATGGACATAGACAAAGTGGCCTTCACAGGATCAACAGAGGTAACACCACTTAGCCCAGAAGTCAAGAATATCTGCATCTCCAGCTATCAGAAGCATGTTTTATGCAACTATTTTTAGGACAACACTTCCTTAAAACAAAAGTTCTTTTTAATGATTTGTTCCTTATTTTAGCTTTCAAATATGTGCATAGAACATAAGCAGATGTACTTTGGATGAAATGAAATACTTATTACAAACTCAGAAGGACTAGAGTGAACTATTTTTAACATGTTCTCATTATTTCTGATGAGAAATATGGCTGCTGAGACCTTGTCCTAGGATTAGTAAGGTTTACAGTAGAAAATGTAAATTAGGCCACAGTAATTTGTATGAATGAATGTAATGTTACTCTGTAGATTATCAAAATTAAATAGTAGAACCTCATCCTTAGATCCTCGTTTGGGTCTCTCTCCTCCTTACACATTCAGAAAGGGAGCCAGAAACTCAGCTTCCCTCGATGTTACTTTCGGCCTAGCCTAACTTTTCTATCTGGCTCAAACTTGGGCATCCAAAGGTTAAAGAACAGGACCCCAACCATGAGCACTGCCAGGAGAAGCAGGAGGGAGAGAGAGAAAGACAGCATCCTGGGATGTAGACTTTGGGAAAATGGATTCCCATTTACTGAAGCTATTTTCTATCCTAAGCAAAAAGAAAGTGGTGAGATCATACTGTGCCAAGAAAAATAAATCTTTGAGTCATTCTATTAGATAACGTGACATTGTTAGATGTTCAATGCAAAAAGTACTGTATGCCTTCCATTGGTATACGGTACAGAGGGTGAAGAGTGAACATCACCCCATCTTAGAAAGCTGCCGAGGCAAGTAAGAAACAAGGCAGAATGTGATAAGTACTAAAATATGCACAAAGTGCTGTAAAGGGGTTCACAGGATGGAATAATGATGTCCAAATGGGGGCGAGAACTGCAGTGTGTTTTGAGGATTTGTTCCTTTTATTTAACTCCCTTTAGATTGAGAAGCAAAAATAATGTTCCAGATAGGAAGATGAGGCCACTCCAATATAAAGAAATATTTACATAAAGGACAGAAATGACAGAAAATCAAATTTTATTTCTCTTGATCTTTTTAAAATTAGGTAAATACATATACATTTTGTCTTTGTTTTTCATAGACCAGAGTAGTAAAAGTTTGCCTTCTGTAAATCCCTAATTGAGGCAGGGAAAAGCCAGCCCCACATTTAGGATTTATTGTGAACAAAACAAATGGGAATGTTCAAGACATGACAATAAATTTTAAAATGGTGAAATCTCAGGTTGAAATCATAGCAGAGAAGGTAAAGGAAGAAAGGAACAAATTCCTCAGGCTGGACTTCTCAACCTTCCCCAGCAGGGAATCCATGTGGCTTTCAAGGCCCAGATCCCACACCTGCTCACTTCTCCAGTTCATCTGGACCAGGGGATGCTGTTCCCCGATCCCAACTCCAGCATCACTGCCTGTTTGTCTTGGTTCAACCCTCAGCCTCTATTGTATTCGGGGGGGGGGGGTGTTTTACCTACCAAACTCACCCAAACCTTAGGCATTAAAAGACTAGAAAACATCTGTGTTCACATTCTGACTCTACCCCTGCTAGCAGTGTGTCTTCAGAAGTAAAATAACCTTGCTAATTTAGTTTCTTCATTTGTAAAATGGAGACAATGATATCAACCTTACTGAGTTGCACAGAATAAAACTAGGAGGGCTAATGAGTGGTGAAACACGTAGCACCCTACCCAGCACTCAGTAAATGCCGTGGTTATTATATGTGTCTGTACTCATTCCTTTTTCTCTTTCCTCTGCCACTCTTTAGTTTCTCACAATAATTTAGAAGGTGTGAGGGAAGAGATTCCTCTCCCTATAAATTTTCCCCATCTCTGCCACTCTGCCCCATTGCTTCCTGATTATTCCATGCACCTTTTCATTCCCACATGCTTTTTGTTCACGTGTGATCATAACCTGTTCTAACCTGGCTCCCACCACATATTCCCTGGCTGACTTTCTCCTCACCTCTGCAGTCACAGAAGCACTCTGCATTTAACAACACCCGTCTGTGTTCCCATTGGCCGTGATACACAGCTGTAAGAGCACATGCCCGTGGCCTTTTTATGTGTCTTTCTCTCCCTTGCGGAATATCCACAAAGACTCTTGTTAATTATTATCTCCCAAAACCAGTACAGTGACTAATTCTAAATAAGTATAAAGAATTAAGTGTGAATAATATGACTATAGAAGCCACACAGAAAAACCCGACTTAGTTCCAATGCATGGAACTGAGGTCCATGCTCCCTGGAACCTCTTTCTGGGTTCTTGTTTAGCTTCAGGTTTGTTACTGGGCAGATTATCAGGGAAATTGGCAAATACCATGAAAAAGGCAAACAATAGATTATATCCTTTGTGGTCATCGTAGCAATGATTCCCATTCTAACAACACTTTTAGCGAGGTAAGAATTTTAATGTCCCATGAGATTTGTATAAAACAGTACCCTACTCACATTGTGCCAGACATAATAAGTTGTACCCTTTTCATGAGCATTTGCTACTTCTGCCCCACATGGCAATGCCACAATATCATAGAATATACTATTTACCCGTAGTCTTAATAGTTGTATCTTTTCTTCATTGCAAACCTCTTTGAGAAAAATGATGAATCTTTACTTGTTTCCAAGTAAAGGAAAGAAATCGTGAGACCAAAAATGGATGTTTCCTTGCTTGGGCTTAGACATTTGGGAAAATTCAAGCAAGCCTTTTATCGGCCACTTAAACTTGCACTAAGCAAAAATATAACCTTTCTTCCTCATCCATGCTTCTAACCATTCGTCACACTAGTCTTTTGATATCTGTAGCTTTTAGAAAAATAATTCTGATTTTACTCCCTTTCCCAAGATAAAAGTTATCTACTTTAATAGAGTTTCTCCAGTAAACCTAAGTTTAAAGAAAAGAAAAAACAAAAAAGATGCAGAATGAAATTGGGGAACTCAAAGAGGGAAAGGCAAAGAATGTTATCTAGAATAAAGAAAATTCTTAATCACCTTAAGTGAAAATTAAACTTCTGAAAATAGTCTTTAGGAGTATGTTGTAGAAGGAAAATGAGACACAAGAGATATTTCAGACTGGGTTCCCCAATGAAAGCCTACTTTTAGTTTATTTTTATTAATCTATTCTTAGGTATTTGA